TACCATAAAACTTGATGGACAAAGAAATGCGTTTTTCCTTCCATTTTCATCTTGATTTTTTTCTCCAACCATTTAAAAACATCAACGCCATCCCATCTCCTGGGCCATGAAGAGACAGGTGGCGAGCTGTGAAAAGACAGGCAGGGAGCCAGATGTGGGCAGCAGTGTGCCAACCCCTGGTCTCATCCAAAACCACCCAGCTGGTCAAAAAGAACACCACAGAGCCAGACGCTGATGAACTCTCACTGTTTTCTTATTGAAAAATGTGGACTTTGAGTTTTCAATTTGCTACAGATCTTTTTGTCCAATTTCGCATCCAGGAGCACTCACTATTACCAAACTCATTTCCAGGAACTCCCAAGGACCAGAAAGGGGCTTGAAGCGTTTAAAGTGCTTTCCTCTGCATAATAATGTAAATCAAAGGAATGGCGAAAACAAACCAAGTAGAATCTACATCTTTAAAAAAAATAGCATGTCTTTTGCTTTATACACAGACATCACACATCTTTCAGCAACGCAGGAAAACATCAGGAGGTTTGTCAAATATTTCATCAGCTCAAATTTGGTTAAGAAGGAGATAATGAAGCACTTGACATGAAAAGGAAATGCCTCGCTGGCTGTTCAAATACAACCACTTCAGAGGAGAGCCAATCTCATTATCACATCTCTTGCTGCTGCTTAAGAGGAATCCCAGGGAGCCTGGGAGGGATCTCTCCCCTAACTATCGGGAGAAATAAAATTGGGTCTGGTCTATTAACCACATCACTGGAAAATGGCCAGCTCCATTTCCAGCAATTTTGCAAATATCTTTATTAAAATCCAGACCACAAGGCGCACAGATGGTTTCGCCTGAGTGGCTCTCAGAGGAAGGGGCATCTTGAGTCTCCATCATCCTCTAGCTCAGGAGTTGGCCAGTTTGTCCAGTAAATGGGGCAGATCAGCAATGTTTTCAGCTCTGTGGGCCAGTCTCTGTTGCAACTGTGCCATGGTAGCAGGAAAGCGGCCAAACCAACCATAGACAATACATACCTAAAGGGGTGTGGCTGGGCAAGCAGTGGGATGGACTTGGCTGGTGGGCTATAGTTTCCAAGTTCTGCTCTAGAGCATCTGGAACTGAACTGCGATGAGAAACCCACAGAAGCGAGAGACAGGGTCCACTCCTCAAGATGGCAAGGGTGGAGGAAGAAAAGGAGGTATCCAATACGAACCCGAAAACTTGCAGCCAGGGCAGGAGCCATAAATTGCGACCTTCTTTTTGTCCTTCAGATGCAGCTTCTTACCTTGGCAGCAACTCTATATAACATGTTCCAGGACAAGTACTAGTGGGCATTTATTTTTTAATTAGATAGTGGCTAAGATTCTTAACCACCAAGGCCAAGGTGGCAAGCCAGCTTGTGTGACAAGTCAACTGCTTGTCAACTGCTGTTGCTTGCACAAAGAAACAGTTATGTGGGTGGAGCTGAAAAACTTTGTCCTTATTCACAGATGAAGCAAACTCAAGTGGCTGAACATAGCTTGGGTCAGAGATGACAGGGATTTAGAACCAATTCCTTTGGTATGTACATACATATGTATGCACGTATGTATGTATGCTTAAACGTGTGCATAAGAACAAATGAACATTAAGCAAATAAAGACAAGGAAGTAAGCAGTCTAAGATACATTTGGGGGGAGTTCATACCTTAAAGCTGTCAGGGTGGATCTGTTTTAACGTGACCCCAAAAAGCCATTAGGGATGATACACTGAGATGTTCATCGCTGTGTTATTCATAATAGACAAAAACTAGATAAACAGTAAGTTTATTTAAGTCACTGTATAGCATAGGGAACTACAGTTAATATCTTGTATAACCTACAATGAAAAAGAATATGAAAATGAATCTATGTATGAGTGAAACTTTATCCTGTATGCCAGAAATTGACACAACATCATAAACTGGCTATACTTCAATTAAAAAATTTTTTTTAATTAAACTAAAAAAAAAAGGAATCTGTCATCCACAAAAAAAAAACCCCCAAACTAGAGATAACTCAAGTCTCCATCAGCTGGGGACTAGCTAAATCCATTACAGTGTGTCATGACAATGGCTTATCTGCAGTTATTAAGAATGGAACTGTAGGAAAAAAATACAGAAATGTGTTCATATTATCAGATAAGAAAAGCAGGCTAGAAGAAACAAAGATACAATTTACGTAGAAAAAAGCGTATCTACCATACCCAATGCACACGTACAGAGAAGAAGTCAGAACAATGTGTACCAAGAATGATGCTCTCTGGGGGAGTGTGATTATGGGTGATTTTCTTCCCTTCCAGCAAAGCTGTACTTTGTAATCTTTCTACCATAAAGTGCGTTGGTAGTAAGACAAAAGCACAAAATTAATTTAAAACAAAATGAAACAAACAAACTGAAGCTACAGTGGTGGTACAAATAGATGTAGCCTCACCGGGTAGTCTGGGAAATACTAGTGAGGGAAGCCAGCAAAGGTCATAACAATGGTGACCGCAGTGGCATTTATAACAGCAGACAGAGTACAAGTTCAAAGTACGTATGAGAGGGCCAGCCAGAAGGCCAAGGTTAAAGAGAGATTTATTGATGCCACGTGGTAATTAAAAATGAGAACCACGAAGCCTCTCTGGCAGTCCAGAAGATATGAAGGAAGTGATGCCAAAATGACAACAGTAGAACCCAAACTGCCTCATCCACTGTCGGGACTATGTCGTATATACCATGACATATAAAGAAGATGCTGGAAAAAGAATGGGAAGACAGGAAAATGTTTTCCACACTGGAAATTGTTTCCACTTTTTAAAAAATGATGTGATTGCTCTTTAATGGTCTGTGTACAGACTGCAGGAATGAATGGAGGCAAGACGAGAGACAATTTGGGCCATGAGGACACCCATAGGTATGAGTGTTTACCAGGCACCACCTTCAGATTCACTGAACCTTACAAAAATCCCAGCAGGTGTGATCTTCGGTTCCATTTTAGAGATGTGAAAACTGAGGCTTAGAAAGGAGAAGCAATCAGCCAAGACCCCATCAGCAAGAAGCAGAGATGGGATTTGAACCCACATCTAACGGACCCAGAATTTATATGTTATGGGACCCTTTGCACCCTAAAATCAAAATTAGATAAACTTTGGTGCCAATGAGGGTTCCTGAAAAGCTTCCTAAAGATACACATCCATGAGATGCAACTTTAAAAATGTGAACAGCCTTTGATTTGCGTCCCCCAAAGCTCCATTGCTTATAAGAACTTAACAATGAGATAACAGTTCTCTGGAGAAAAATATAACTATTGTCTCTCAGGGGCAGCCTGAGATCATATTTGCCTAATTCCTGCCCAACATTTATTGAACAAAATCCAAAAAGGAACATCTAAGATTGCCTCCTCTCTCACTTTTCAACAGCCCCCACAATCAACGAATCCTAGGTGTTTCCCATGGCATAATTTGAAGCAACTCAAATTGCAAGTCAACTTCTAGGTTAAAAAAAAAAAAGTATAAACCAAAGGTCCTTTTAGAAATGAGCTTTTATTTTCAATGCTGTTTAGTTCTAAAAGCCTGCATATTTATTTTTTCCTCCCCCACATTCCCTACAAGTCAAGATTTGAAAATCCACCACAAATTAAACACAGTGGGGTCAGGGAGCTGACCCTCAGGGTGTCATTTTGGTGATTCAACTGGGACTCCCTTTCAAAGAGGCTTCTGTGCAAAATGCTGTACTTCCTCCAATGAGTCTTATCGTTTTTCAACTTTGAAATCACCCACCTAAAAAGCAGACCCCAAAACCCAAGCTTTCCAAATTGGGTCCCAATATTACCACATAAATCACTCTTGTTCTAGAAACTGTATAATTACTGGCCCCCAAAATTACTTTACTGGAGAGTTTCAAGGCAAGACAAAATTTCTCATAAAACCTCCATCTGCCTCGTCAACTGTTCTGCACCTCTCCTCCATGGGAATCAGCAATACTTCACCCTTAAAGACCTGGGGACACCCTCAGTGGCACAGAGTGGCTGAGCAGAGCCCAGTGGGATGGGAAGGAACTTGGACACAGACTCAGCAACAATGAACTTGCTCATTCCTCATAAATGCAGTCCCATAAGAGGCTGCATCAAACTTAAATGGCGACCTTTCTGCTTCAGATCCCTGAATAAAAAAGATTTTTTAAAAACCTGTATCATTTGAATCAAAAAGGATGGTTACTAAAAATAAACCAAGCAACACCCAGAAATTGATTTCCAGTGAAAGCCTGGCAGAAGAGGGATTCTAATCTGATTCAACAATCTAGGTAGGTTCTTTTATCTTTGCGGAAGGCAATGTTATCACAGCCCCTTGCGTAAACCCTCCTCAAATTCCGTAAGTCGACAGCATTTCAATGCAGGGATCAGAGTGAAAATATCTTTGAAAAGAAAACAGTGGTGTGGCTGTGCATCGTGGTGAACATTTTTTCCACCCACCACGAGTTTGGGCTTTCTGCGAAGGTCACCATTCTTCTGGTCAAAAACATTCTTGAAGTCATCAGGAACGGAGGCAGGGAGACTCGGCATCTGAGAAGGTGTGTTCCTGGTTCCGTATCTGGAGCTCAGGAGCCAAAGAGCCTGGAAAAGTCAGAGGACAGACATACCCATGAGGATGGGAAGCTACTATTCTGAAAGCACTTTCAAGACATATTCTCCACTGCTATCATTAAGATTATTTTCCATCATCTTCTGATTTTATAAGTAACTCTTCTGTTATACAGCCATGTAAACACTCTTAAGGCTCCCAAACTATACACCTAAAAAAAAAAAAAAGTAACTCTTTAAAAGTGTATCTACTTCCCACAAATCTGTAACATTTTCTTTTAGCCCATTCTCAATTACTGCAGGTCGGCAGTAACTTTCATAAATAAAATAAGACCTTTGAGTAAGCAAACAATTATTAGAGCTAGCTCTGCTCATTGAAAAAAAATCTAAAATAGAAAAGGCCTAAAAATTATATAAATGTCCAGGAAGTTTGGGAATATATATACAGGTTATGATACAGACCTAAAGGGGAAAACCATAGCGTTATTAAAAAGATACACAGTTGACCCTTGAACAAAGGTTTGAACTGCCTGGGCCCACTTACGCGTGGATTTTTTTCCATAGCAAATACTGCAGTACAGCACCATCCAAGGCTGGTTGACTCTGTGGATGCAGGACCACGGATACAGAGGGTCAACTGTAAAGTTATACTCGGATTTTAGACTTCGAAGAGGGTAGGCATCCCTAACCCCCATATTGTTCAAGGGTCAACTATATACAGGAACTCTGTGTGTTATCTCTGCAACATTTCTGTAAATCTAAACTCTTTCCAAAATAGAGATTATTTGAAAAAATAACAACAGATGGGGCCACCACATGCAGGAACAACTGGGACACCACATGCAAAAGAATGAAGTTGGATCCTTACCTCATGCCATATACAAAAATTAACTCAAAATGGATCATAGACCCAACTATTACAATTAAAACTATAAAACTTTTAGAAGCAAACCTAGTTGTAAATCTTTGTGACCTAGGGTTAGGCAATGATTTCTTCGCTATTACACAAAAAGCACAAGTAATGAAAACAAAACAAAACAAAACAAATGCACTGGACTTCACAGAAATTTTAGAATTCTGTGCTTCAAATGACACCATCAAAGACAATGCACAGAATGGGAGAAAATACTTGCCAATCATATATCTGATAAGGGACTGGGATCCAGAACATAAAAAGAACTCTTACAACTCAATAATAACCCAAAAATGGGCAAAGGGTCTGAATAGACATTTCACCAAAGAACATATGCAGATGGCCAATAAGCGCATGAAAGCTCAATGTCCTAAATCATCGGGGAAATGCCAATCAACCTGCACACGCACTAGGATGGCTGTACTCAAAAAGACTGACAATAACAAGCGTTGGCAAGAATGTGGGGAAACTGGAACCTTCATATACGGCTGGTGGGAATGTAAATTGCTGCGGTTACTTTGGAAAATCGTCCGGCGGTTCCTCGGAAAGATAAATATAAGCTACCATGTGACCCTGCAATTCCACTCCTGAGTATATACCAGAGAACTGAAGACTTAAGTCTGCACAATAACTTGTACAGGAATGCACACTGGATTGTTATTCAGCCATGGAAAGGAACGAAGTACCGATACACGCCACGACATGGAAGAATCTAGAAGACACGATGCTGAACGAAAGAAGCCAGGCACAAAAGGCCATATACTGTATGATTCCATCAGTGTGAAATATCCAGATGAGGCCAACCCATAGAGACAGAAAGTAGATCTGTGGTTGCCTAAGGCTGGGGGTAAGGGAGAAATGGGGATAAAAAAAATAAAATATAAAGAAAAAGAAAAAAATTAAAAAAAAAAAGAAAAGAAATGGGGAGTAACTGCTTAATGGATACTGGGTTTCCCTTTGGGGATGATTAAAATATTCTAGAACTATTTCATAGGGTTACACAACCCTATGAAAATCCTACAAAATTTTGGATTGTGAAGAGTGACTTCCACTTTTTACTTATTAAGACCCTTTTCCATGGTTTGACACCCTCATTTTCTATCTTCCCACCACCCATTTTTATTACGAAGATTTCAACATATGAAAGAGTTACAAGAACAGTTCAGAGAACAGCGCCACACACACCACCTATATTCTGCAATTAACGCTTTCCTTTACTGTGTATCTATCCATTTATCTGTCCACCTTATTTTTGTTTGTCTGTTTGTTTGTTTTATGAGGGGGAGGTAATTAGGTTTATTTATTTATTTATATTTGGAGGAGGTACTGGGGATTGAACCCACAACCCCATGCATGTTAAGCATGCGCTCTACCACTTGAGCTATACTGTTCCCCCATCTACCTTATTTTTGATGTGTTTCAAAGTCACAGGTATCAGTGCCCTTGGTCTCTAAACACTCAGACACGTGGTTTCAAGGTTTTTTTCTTTTTCTTTTTTTAATCACTTAAAAAAAATTTCCCATTGAGCTCAGCTCAAACAAGACAAAAATGAGTGCAGGGAATAGCGAACCACCCCATGGGCCCACAAAATTCCTCAGAAGTCACAGCACAGTCACTTTCGTGGACAGGCTGGGGTAGATCCTTCCAGCTCCCTTGCTGGAAGTTATTTCCCTCATGCACTCAGCATTTATTCAATGCTAACTGTGTGCAAGTCACAAGTGACGCCAGAGTGTGCATACAGGTGACACTTGACCTTTACTTTCAAAACATTTTCCTTAGTAGACGGAACTTTCCGGCACATTATCAGTGATGGCAGCATGACAGCTGGTCATACGGGTATCCTTCGAGTTACCTGACTCTCCTCCTGTTCTTGGAGACTTAGGTAATTTCCATTTTCTTATATCCTGAAAAAGCCCTTTCTGGAGAGAAGCATCCCCCCTTCTTGGCATGTGCTGAAAGAGCTGGCCTAGGTCAGGGATCAGCACACTCTTTCTGTAAAATGCCTCACAGTAAGTGGTTCAGGCTTTGCAAGTCTGTCAAAATGATCCAACATTGCCACTGTAGTGCAAGAGCAGGCACAGACATGGGTGTGCTCCACTCATGAAAACTTCATTTATGAAAACAGGCTGAGGAGGGATATGGCCCATGGGCTATGATTTGCTGATCTCTGACCTGGAACCCCCAATCCAAGTGGCCCTGGGTAACAGGTAGCTAGTGAGGTGCTTCCAGAAATCACAATCAGGACAATGGGCTACTGGCTAAGCTAAGACTTGGGCTGAACTGGGAGGTCACAAAGCCTGAGGCTACCATCCTGGTAACAGGCCAGCAGATGAGCAGTGAAGGAAGCTAGTCAGGCAAAAGAGGATGATGAAGCCAACGGACAGAAAAGAACAAAATGAGGAAAACATAGAGTTCTTCCTTGCCCCAGGACCTTTGCACATCTTGCTTCCAGTAGAAAGAGCTACTGTGCCTCTCTCCAGCTCTGTCAATGGCAGGCTTCCTTCTTTAGGTCATGATTTGAACAGCACCTTCTCAGAGTGTCTTCCTGACCCTCCTAAACTGGGAACCTCCTTCCAATTCACCTCACAACTAACCCTTTTTATTTTGACTATTTGCTTATTTTATGTCCATGTTATACTGTGCATTTGCTGATGGCAGGGACTATGACTGTTCTGGTCTCAACTTTAAGCCCAGAGCACAGCCCATGAGAGACAGTTGTGAGTAGATAAATGAATGAATGAACAGGTGGGAATCTAGAGAGTCAAAGGCTGGAGAAGCCCCTCAACACTCCCACTTCCTGTGAGGACTAGGTATACTTCCCACACCCTTCTGTGAACTCCTTGATCTCTTCACAAGCCCTCTTTGTACCTAGGCAGGCCTTATCCGAGCTCCCAAAAAGGCTCTTTCTTCTGAGCATACATTATGGTCTTCATTCTGGGCTCCAGAATATTTTCCAGTGACATAGAAATCTCTCCTCCTCCCCGATCTCCTAAGTCCTGGAATCATCGCCTCAAAACAGCCACTGGGTTGGCACAAGGACTGTCCAGCCACCCCAAAGTCAGTGTCTCAATTACTCAGGACAGCCAGCTTTTCATTCTCTTCCTCTTTGGGGGAAGCATACAGGGATGGGCCCAGCATGGCCTAGAATCCCAGATTCTCCTTTGGTTTTTTTCCCCTGAGTCTGTTTATTGAGTCTCACAATTCATCAATAGCAGTACTGGAGTGAGTGCCCTGACACTGAAAGGAAAACCAAAGCCTAATGAGAAAATAAAAATAGGCAGAAAAAAACAGAAATAAAGTCTGAACACACTTCTGCTGGCTTCCAGCAGGGTGGGAACAAGATCCAGCAACACACTGGCCCTTCAAGCCATATTTTCCATTCTGGCCAATGCCAAGTATAGGCTAAGCACAACACAGCTGGTGAGAGGTAACAGGGCCACGGGCTCGGGAACAGGCTACTCCTGGCAGCCCCTGCCAAGGCACCAGGCACAGCCAGGACTTGGAGGATGCCATGTTCCCATCGAAGCTCCAGCCCGGACCGAGGTGACATCGTTTAACTCTTGTAGATCCCGGTTTCCTCTCAAGTGTGGAGAGTTCTTACTTTGAAAGCAGAAAGCGTGACACCAAAGTGCAGACTGAGAGGACAGAGAATGACCATCAGGTGGGTCATTCTGGAGAACAATGCTGATGATAATGACCACGAAGGGGACAGGCGGGCCGGACTTACACAATCATGCAGAACATCATGAAGACATTCCAGAGGGCGATGAAGATACGGAAGTATCTGAGGCTCAGCAAGAACTCCCGGATGTTGTCACCTGGAAGAGTCAGAAAGCATTTGCACAAGCAGTGCTAACGTTTCTGTCCCAGCTGCAGTGTGCTCCTGTGGCCTCTGCCTGCTCCGCACCCACTGTCCCCATGTTCCAGTGGCAGCATGGCTTTTCCTTTGGGCTGCCACTGCTCCCCAGCCCTGCGCACTCAAGTGTTAGCTGCCACTGACCAACCCCCTGAGAATACTGGACCCCCAACCTCTGATTGGCTCAGGGAAGGGCACGTGACCCAAGACTGATCAATGAGTCAGCCTTGGGACTTTTTCCCCAATTACTGGGAAAGAGGCACTTGCTTTCTGTCAGGATTGCTGGGCTGGGAAGATGTAAGTCCAGTCCTCTAAGGCAGAGGTTGGCAAACCATGGCCCATGGACCAAAGGTGGCCCCTGACACCTGTTTCTTTGTCAACACAAGCCACCCTGATAGTAAAACCAACCCAGAAGAAAAAAGAGGTGGAGAGGGTCACCTGCTGGAGGGACGGCTTACGCCCCGAATCCAGGTGTGCCTGAAGACAATTCTATCCTTGGATGTTTCAATTTGTTTTAACTACTCTGAGCTGGTTTTCAGCTGTTTACAAGTGAAAAAGCATTCTAATTCGGGCAAGTAAAATGGGAGTTTTGCTTTGGTGACGACTTACTCTGGTCCCCTCTGATGCCAAGGAACAGAAACCTCTCCAAGAAGAGGCAATTTGGTATGTGAAGACTCCAGAGGGCTGGGATCCAGAACTTTCCTCTTGGGTTTTGAGTTGATCGCCCAGCCTCTTCAGGCCTCCAGAGTAAAATGAATGGATCCAGATTAGGTGATCTACAAGGGCGTTACCTGAACTGTCATCCACAGGGCTGTCCGCTAAGTATGGAATACCAGGCAGGAACTCAGAAATTTCCAGAGCACACAACATGACAGCCACCTGGCACTGCTGCTCCATCCAAGTATATGATCAGTACATGGTCTTGTTGAACACGGTTTAGATGGGAATCCACTATTACCCAACCCACGGGGTTAGCCACATGGAGTACAGCCTATGTAAGTGTTGGCCCAGCATGGACTACAAATGTCAGAGACAAGTCCATCCCCAGAATGCCTGCTAGACACTGCTTGGCAAGGCCCTTTTCTGAGCCCAGGATCACAAAAAGGGGCTCTCTTACCATCAACAAATGCTGACTAAAGGCCGCTCCATCCAGGGAGTAGCTGAGTGCGGGGTATACAGGGAGGAATGAGACAGGTATCCCTGCCTTAAAGAGCTCACGGGAGGACAAATACTGAAAAAGTATCCACACACCTAATATTCACCATGACAAGTGCCACGGGAGCCACAGTGGGGGAACCCAACCTGGCAGGTGTCAGGAGGGAGGTGGGGTCAGAAGACGTCTCACTGAGGAAGTGCGTGCACTCTGACCTTAAATATGGGCTCAGGTTTACTGCCCTTCTGTACCTGGGCCTATGTGTGCCCCAGTTTCCTCCTGTGTAAATGGGAATGATAGGCGACTGGGAAGACCTGAGCACAGCACCTGGTACACAGGATGCTCCCAACAAATGCAGCCACTAGGGTATTAGGGATCAGCCAGACAGAGGATGGAGGGAGAGGAGCATCCTCTACAGGGGCAGTGGCCAGCACAGACTCCTAGCTTGAAGGAGCCTTGCAGAGAGCCCCTGATCAGAGGGGAGCCACTGTTCTGACCATCCTTGTCACCTATGCTCCTGCCACTTCCGAGCCCGCATGCCCAATCTCCCACTCACTACAGCTCCAATTCGGATCTATGGACCACAGCCCCAGGGGCTGGTACAGTGCCTTCCATATGGTGGGTAAGCAATATATACATCTTTGGAATGAATGCATGAATGAATGAATGAACAGATGGATGGTATAGTGATTCAGAGGACAACCTCTGGTGTCAGAAAAACCCAAGCTCCAATCCTGATGCTGTCATTGATTTGCTCTGCAGCCATGAACAAGGTGAGCTACATCTCTGAGCCTCAGCTTCCTCATCTGTAAAATGGGACAATGTTCCTCATCTTTTAGGAATGGAAATGGAGTGAAACACTCATAGGAGGCACCTAACAAGGCAGCCACCACCCAGCAGGCTCCCCAGTAAAGGGGGGCTGTCAGACTGTCTTCAGATTCACGGCTCCTGGTGCGATGCTTCATCACAGCACCCATAATCTTTGCTGCAATGCCACCTCCTCCAAGGGCCTCCCCTCCATGCAGCCCAGCCCGGGGAAGCAAGCCCATCGCTCTCCTCATCTGACATCTTCTCTGTCACTGTTTGTTTCTCATTTAGGAACTGTTAGTCCTGCTCCATGTTAGTATAACCCCAAAGCAGGAATTACATCTGTCTTGCTCCCTCCTGCCCCTCCAGCATCCAGTACAGTGGCTGGTATGTAGTAGGTACTCAATAAATGCTTAGTGAATGAATGAATGAATGAATGGACACAATAGTCATGTACAGGTCTCATTAGACTCCATATAGTTACATAAATCAATTTAGCAGGAAGTATAAATTCTAGGGCCTCCAGGGGCCGGGCAGGTGAAATAATGTAAAAATAAGGGGGTTGGGGCTGGGATGCGGTAGAGGCTACAAGTCTTGTTTTAACCAGGTCCTGCTTCTCAACTCCCATTCAACAGGAGCCAAAAGGTCGCTTGAACCCATCCCAACTTGTAGGATGTTCTGATTTTCTTGAAAAATCAGACATCTGAATTTTTATATGACATCTCCTGATTTATCTGAAAGCTAATCTAACTGAAAATTAAACAAACAGACCTACAGCATTCTGAAAATAACAGCTACTTGTGAGGCTACTCATTCATTCATTCATTTACGCTGGAATGAATCACTATACCATTCATTTACGCATTCCAAGAACAGAGATGCAAGGACATCGGAGCCTCTTCTCTGGAGCTTAAAGTCAAGTGTGAGGGGTAAATATTAGCCAGATGATAGCATACACAAAGGAAAATTATAACCGTAGGAAGTGGTAAGAGCGCTGACCTATGCAGGATGTCCGGCAGGAGAAAAGTGGGTGCAGAAGTGGGTAGAAGGAACAGCACAAACTCAGGCCCGTCTCTCTTACACACACACACACACACACACACACACACACACACACACACTTAAAAAGAAAATTGGTGAAAAAGAACTGTCCTCTCTGAAATATATCAATCCCAGAGTCCAGAAAGGAGGCCTTACCTGTGCTGGGCTCCCTCGACTCCTCACCAAAGCCCTGCGTGTCCTTCTTTTTCCTACAAAAAGAAGCAGACAGCGTCCACTTTCAATGGGACACACAAACCACTTAGTCCCCTCGCCCTGACCCCCAGCTCAGAGGGAAGCTCTAGCTCTATCGCTGATTTGCCTTGTGACCTCAGGCGGTTCAGTGATCCTCCCTGGGCCACCAAGTGCCCCGCCAATCACAGCCATGCCTGCAACCGACGGGGTGGAGAGGGTGGTCCGAAGGTGCCAGGTGCGGGGCTGAGGGTACAGGTTAGGGCTAAGAGATTCTTGGGGGATGCGCCTGAGGCTGTCGTGGGTGTGAACAGAGGATCCTGGGGGAACCGAGAGTCCGGATTTCATGATGCGGTGGCGCAGAGGGTCACAGGAGTACGGGCCAAGGTGGAGGCGGGGCTAGAGGGCTGGGACTTGAGGGCGGGGCCGGCGGCGTAGGGCGGGCTCACTCTCGCAGGGGCGGGGCTACGGGCCCCAGGGATTGAGCCGCGGTTCAGGGCGGCCTACTCACAGCTTAAAGTTGAGGACCGCCCCGGCGTTCATCAGCAGCGTCCTGCGAAAGAAGAATACGGTTATGTGAACTTCCTCCCATCCCATCGGGCCCTCTCGCCCTATCCTCTGGTCACCCTAATTACCCAAACAGCAGGATATCCCCGATCATCGTTACGGCCGGAGCGTCCGTCAGAATAGGAAGCGGAAGCCTCGGGGAGGCAGAGGAGAGGAAGACGAGCCGACCAATGTCGAAGCAGCTCTGGTGAGGGCTGGGCCAATCAAAGGCCAAGGCTGGCAGGGTCCCGCCTTCTGCAGGCCAAGCCCCCTTAAGGAAGAGCGAGCGCCGCTCCTCGCTCTGGAGGCCCAGAGCCTAGTCAAGGAAGGGCGGGGCGAGAACGCTACGTCACCGAAAGGGGCGGGGTCACGTGGGGACGAGTTTGAATCACGGATTGGAAGTGGGTCGCACCTGCATAAGGGACCTGCGCGCCGGAGAACTAGACCTGCAGCTTTTCCTTCTGCGGGCTAGGGTCTCGGATGGGGCTTCTGGAGAAACGGGGCCCCCTGATCATTGAACTAAACAGGGGAGTGGGTCCTGACGCAGTGGGCTTTCCTGGGCATGGACGCTCCGACTGATGGAACTCCAAAAGGGCCTGCTCCTGGGCCCCACGGGAGGCGCGATCCCCGACTAAGAGGTTCCCTTGGAGGATGGGGTTCTGTGCAGGGGACAGAAGTCATGACTTACAGAGGGCTTGGATCATGACAGCTCCATAAAGGACCGAGGTCCTGGGGAACGGAGCCTATGGGGCACGGGAATCTGGGATTCACACAGATTGGGCCCCAAGGACATGGAGGTCCCGATCCAAGGGCTCTACAGAGGACGTGGGTCCTAATTTAGCCCTACGAGGACGGGGTCCCGAATGATCCATCCGGCCTGGGTGGGCTAGGTGCGGAACGGATCCCGCTCCACTCCAAGGACAGATATCCTGTCCAGCTCACACTCTACAGGGACCCCGTACCCCGCTTCACCGGGCTGAATGGGGTCGTGATGGCCCGAGGGACAGAGTATGGGACACTCGACCGTCTTCGCTCCATGGGACAGGACAGTCTCCAGACCCGCCCCGAAGCCTGCGGTCGCCCCTCCTCTCCCGCAGGGGCAGGGTTGGGGGCGGCGCCTGGAGGGCGGGGGCGGGTCCAGCGGCGGGGGCGCAGTCGCCGGGCCTCGGGCGACGGGACGCACCCGGCCGGGGGCTGGGGTGGGACCCGTCGGGAGCCATGGAGCTGCTCTCGGCGCTGAGCCTGGGCGAGCTTGCCCTCAGCTTCTCTCGGGTTCCCCTCTTTCCTGTCTTCGACCTTAGCTACTTCATCGTCTCCATTATCTACCTCAAGTATGAGCCAGGTGAGTCAAGGCCGGGGGCTGGAGGGGGCTAGCATTGCGGGGCAAGTGTCAGGGGTAAACCTAGGGATCTGGAGGAGGGGAAAGGCCTGGATCGTGGGGGGACAGCCCCAGGGACCAGTTCGGGTGACCTGCCAGGTGCTGTCATCATAGGGTTCTCCCACACGGGGGCTGGCAGACAGGAGAGACGGGAGGGAGGGCAAGGAGAGCGAAAAGCCCCTGAGATTGTGGGGCTGGGGAAGGGGAAGCAGATGTAACCTGGAGGGAAGGAAAGGAACATGATTGTTCAGAGGAGAGGGAGCAGGTGCTGGGGAGGAAGCAGGGAGAGAAGGTCAGGGATCCTCGCAGGGTAGGGTCTCATGAACTTAGGCAAGGGGCGTAGGTCGTGGTGAGGGCGCAGACCGGGGTCGGCGCTGCCGGCCGGACCGGATGTCCTGGCCGCCTGGAGCCGTGACCTCCCTCCTTGCCCTTGGCGCGGGAAGCCGGAGCGGCAGCTGAGTGTCTATATAAGGGCCGGCCGTGCTGGGGGCTGTGATCAGGTTCAGAGAAAGTGACACCGGTGCCCCCTCCCCGCTGTGGCTGCGGGTCAAGCTCCTCTCCCTTCCCCTGGGCCGAGGCTGTGCTGGGTCTCCGAGCCCGGCGGGAGTTCTTCCAGCTCTGGCCCGGATCCTTTCCACTTACTGAGCAGTACCGGCCCTAGGACGGGGTGATTTGGGGTCAGCCTCCTCCCACCAGCTCCAGACCCTCCTGGAGAATGGCTACAGGGAAGACCCAGCTTCTTGAATTTTTTTTTTAAATCATTTTTTTTAAATGATGTTAAATGGCCTCCTTAGAATGTATTCTATTTTTATACAAGGTTCAGGGAGTGTTTCTTGTTCATCTCCTCCTATTTGAATCATTCTAGCACACCAGCAAACTAAACAGACAATAGGATTTAGAATTTAGCTTTAGAAAAAACACCAATCACCTGAAACTTTGTGACCCTTTCTCCCACTTAGATGTAAATTACCCCTATATTCTCTTCTCAGTGGAAATAGCTTTTTTTAAGATGATGAAAATAGGTGCTCATGTATATATTTTTTAAAAAATAAAGCTAACTGCCCAAAGGAAAACAAAGATAATTACACTTAATGTCATGGCCACCCTTCCATACCTCACCTCTCTGCATTATACCCCTGTAGTTATGGATGTAAATGCACAGCCTTATGCAAATACGATCCTACTCTGCCTGCCAAGTGTTTTTGTTCTGTTTTATTTTAGCTCGTTCACATGCCAGAGTCTGTTTCTTTAAAAGCTCTTCTGGAAAGCAGTTACTTTGCAAAGCAAAATAAGCTTTGTATTGTCTTAGCCTGAACAGGGGGCTGTATTTCCTGTCTGCAGACGAATTCCTGGGGGATCAGGCTTGTCCTCTGGGCAGGTACAGAACCTAGCACACATTGGGAAATCTAACATTGTGGAGGGCAGGAGCCCCGTAGGGCTGTAGGACACAAGTGTCTGGAAGGAAAGAGGTCTCTGGGCTGGGAACACGAAGAAGGGGTTGGGACATTCCTGCTGGAGTCACAGAGTAAATCATCTGAACTTGAAGTGCGGAGCCTGAAGGTTGAGAGCGTTCAGTGATTCTGAACCCCAGCTGGACATTAGAGGCTCCTGGGGGCTCTTAAACCTCTGCCTCATCTCTAGTCCAGACCAGAATATCTGAGATAGGGCCCAGGCGTGCTTATATTTCAAGCTTCTGTCTCCCAGTGATGCTGTGTGCTGTCAAGGTTGAGAACCCCCTGGCCAGTTCAACTCCCTCCTCTCATAACTGGGGAAATAGGAAGTAGAGGCTAAGCTACTTTACATGTGCAATAAGCCTGGTAAATGGCAGCCTTGGGATCTGAACCCAGATCTGCTTGACCCCAAGAATCGCTATGATTGCTCTGGGGTACTTGCCTCCCCTTAGAAAAAAATACCATTCACTTAAAATTTGGAGGTACCCTATTCATGTGTATCTTCTATCAAAATAATAAAATTTATTGCTGTATCGATTGTTTTATTTCTAAAAATTGATCTGGACTTTCCATTTTCTTTTCTACATGAAAACTGTAAAATATATATATATATAATGTACATGTATATATGTATGTATATGTGTGTGTGTGTGTGTGTGTATGTGTGTATATATATATATAGGACTTTTTTGTTGGCCCCCCAGTGTGGTGTTCCTAAAGATTTCTTCTCAGAATCCATGTGCTGACTGCAGAACCGGCTATGGAATATGCAGGGCCCCTTGTTCAGAAATTAAGAATTTTGTGAACCTGAGAGCCAAGCTGGCTTTAAGGAATGATCTTCAAATTGGGAGTCAGTTCTGCCTCTAGCAGTGAGGAAACAACCAAGCTGGTTGCTTGGCTTACATGAGCTTCAGTTTGCTGACCTGTGAAATGGGCTCATTGGTAAAAATAATCCTGGCCTCCCTTTCCTGGCTATTGGGAAGATCTGTTGAGAACTTTGTCAGTGGTCAGGTCTCAGGCACTTTCAAGAGGTAGTTAGAATTATTTGTAAGGTGTGGGGCAATGAGTTTCCTAAGATGCATGCATCTTCTGGGTCAGACTTTTGTGAGAATCCTGAATGAGGATGAAGCCTAGAGTGTGGTCCTCAAGTGAACAGCATCTGTGACCCCTGGGAGCAGGTTAAGAAAGCCCCCACCCAGACCTGCTGAAACAGAACCTACCTTTGAACGAGATCCCCATAAGCACACTACCATTTGAGAAATGTTGGACTGAAAGAGGCTGGAGATCCTTAACAGGGCGGGGAGGGCCAGGTCTGGCTTACCTCTGGGACCCCTAGTTCTGCAAGAAGATAGGATGAAGTACTGGGTGCTGGTTGCGTGATTGAAGAAGCAAGTAAATTAATGGCTAAATGATAATCCTGGCTACCTTAAGCCCTGACCCATGCAAAGAGCCTTCCAGACCAGTGGTTCTCAAATATGGCTACACATTAGATTCAACCTGGGGGAGCTTTTCAGACTCGTTGTCCAGGCAGCACTCCTTCACCATTCAAATCAGAATTGTAGAGTACTGGCATCAATATTTTTTTTTAATTTCCCAGATGAGAACCCGCTCTCCACACCAGTGTTTCCCAATCTCAACCTGAGTGACAGAGCCTGGTCATTCCCTGCTGTGGGGGCTGTTCTGTGAATTTCAGGATGTTTCCCAGCATCCCTGGCTTCGACCCACAAGATGCAAGTAGCACACCCCAGTTGTGACAACCCAAAATGTCCCCAGAAATTGCTGGTGTCCCTGGGAGGACACAGTTATTGCCAGTTAAGAATTGCTAATCTAGAGGAGGGATAAATTAGGAGTTTGGGATTAACAAATACACATTGCTATGTATAAAATAGATAAACAACAAAGACCTAGTGTATAGCACAGGAAACTATATTCAACTTCTCATATAACGTATAGTGGAAAAGAATATGAAAAAAAGAACACATGTATGCAGATGTATAACTGAATTGCTTTGCTGTACACCTGAAACTAAAATTGTAAATCAAACTACACTTCAATAAAAAAAGTTAAATTTAAAAAAAAGCTGATCTAGACTAAGTCTCAAACTAATGCTTCCAACAGCAGGCAGGTAAGCAATAAGACAGCCAGGTGCAGACCATCCCCAGGTCGGATCCAGCCATGCACATCCCCACCTGGCTGGGGCTAGAACCAACAGAACTAATATTTCAAGGGAAGCTAGAAATGTGACTTGCAGCTCCCATGATATATGTTGGCTACTTGAACATGTTTTTTCTTTTTTAAAAAATTAATGGACAATTTTTAGAGCAGTTTTAGATTAGCAAAATTAAGCTGAACATAGTTTCCATATACTCTGACTACCCACCTCCACAAATACAGCTTTCCTCACCATCAACTTTCTGCACCAGAGTGGTACATTTATTATAGTCAATCAACAAACATTGTTATCAACGTCATTATTGTCCTAATACCATTATTATCATGTATTATAAACATCATTGTCAACTAAAGTCTGTAGTTTGCATAAGGGTTCCTTTGTGTTGTACATTTTATGGATTTTGACAAACATATAATGATATGTATCCATCATAATAATATCATACAGAAGAGTTTCACTAACTTAAAAATCCCCCAAGCTCTGCCTATTCATTTCGCCCCTCTATTCCCTCCCCAAACTCCTGACAACCTCTCATCCTTTTACTCTCTCCATAGTTCTGCTTTTTCCAGAATGTCAGTGAGTTAGAATCATACAGTAGGTAGCCTTTTCAGACTGGCTACTCACACTTAGCATTATGCATTTAAGGCTTCCTCTGTGTCTTTTCATGGCTTGGTAGCTCATTTTTAAAAATAGTTTTTGAAAATTACTTAATTACTTTTTTTTTTTTACTTATTTTTTAAATGCAGGTACTGGGGATTGAACCCAGGACCTTGTGCATGCTAAGCACGTGCTCTGCCACTGAGTTACCCTCCCTCATAGCTCATTTCTTTTTAGTGCTGAGTAATATTCCATGATATGGATGTTCCACAGTTTTCTTATTCACCCATTGAGGGACATCTTGGTTGCAGTTTGAACACTTTTTTAAATTAGTATGGGAGCCAAAGAGAACCATTCCTTGATCTCTGGTTTGAACTGTAAGCTTTTTGAGGGTTGGGGGCTGCTCATCCTCCAACCTTTCGAGGCAGGGGTTGCCATCTCCATTTTATAGGGAGGGAACTAAGGAAGAGAGCTGAGCCCAAAGGCTCAGGAGAGGATGACTTGACTTAGAGTCGCTGAGAGACTCTGTTAACACACCTCCCATGTTTAGACCTCAGACTAAATAGCTCAGAATGGTAACAGTGCTAAAAGTGCCCTGGGGAGCCTTCTAGCGCTCACCCGATAGCCACAGGCAGCACACTGACCCCAGAGAGGGGATGTTTTAGAGCCCATCACAGGTTAGAACTAGGGTCCCGGGTGGGGCTTCCTCCTCCCTCCTTAACTAGAGCTGATTTTTCTAAGTC